ATAAATCTGATATTTTTTCCTCTGTGCTTGTTTTTTTAAATGCTGGTTGTTATTCATTACATTGATTTCCTGACTCATTAATGGGGCACAACTCACAATATGACAGCACTGTTCTGGGTGATCTCCAGTGCCATAGCTTTAAATATTATCTGACTCTTACATGTATATCCCAGCCATATCTTCTCCCCTAACTTCAGACTCCTGTATTCTACCTGACATCTCCATGTGGATGTTTTTCTAAACCTGCTCCTCTTCCCTTAGTGTTCTACTTCCTGGTAAAATGGGAACACCAATCAACCAGATGCTCAGGCCGAAAACTCAAAAGTCCCACTCAACTTCTTTTCTTCTCTCTCTCAGACCCTGCCATCTCTACCTTTGAAGTATATGCTAAATCCAACTCCTTAGCACCTCTACCACTACCACCTTAATCTAAGTCATCACCAGTGCTTACAAGGACTACTGCAAAAGCCTATTAACTGTTTTCCTCCACTTGCCATAAAACAGTCCATTCTCCAACAACAGGATGATCCTTAAAAACATAAATCAGATGTCTCCTGCTCAAAACCATCCAGTGGCTCTTCAGCACACTCAGAATAAAATCCAAATTTCCTATTATGGCCTATAGGCCTACTGTGACCCTAGCTATCCCTTTCTGACCTCATCTTTTATCCTTCTTCACTCCCTTCCAGCCACAGTTGTCCTTGCTGTTTTTGGAAGGTGCCAGAAATGCTCCCACTTGAGAATTTTTGTACTTGCTATTTCTTTGCCTAGAATGCTTTTCTCCAAGAGATTCACATGGCTTGCTCCCTCATTTCATTGATTTATCTGCATAAATATTAACTCAGAACAGCCTCTCCTGACTGCCTGAATTGAAAAAGCACTCCCTAGCCTCTTACCTAGCGTCCCTTTTTCTTCATAGCTCTTATCACCTAACACTATAATATCTCCAGTGTTTAATGAACTCAAACTTTAGTTCAAGGAATGAATGTGCATACATGAATGTTAGAAATCACTGTCTGAGAGTACTATTAATAACTTTATTCTTGGTACAACATGAATTTCGTTCTTCATGACACCATTCTTTCTTTTCCAAATTAATAAATCTATTTTAAGGATCAACTAAGTATAAATTAAAATGAAGAAATAAGATCACCTTTGTAAGGTAAATTGGGAAAAATATAAATGGAATCTAACCAAACTCATAAATAGAGCAAGCACAGAAGTTTTTATGTATACTTATATCCAGGGCAAAGGAACTAAGAATCTTAACTAGACTTCATACATGTGCCTAGCGAGAATATTTATAAAACAAGAATTATAAAGTAATAGATTAGAGCCGAGACTGTTGAGCCAGACTACCTGGGTGCAAATATCCTGGTTCTGATTCTTAGTAGCTATAAAAAACTTTTCTGCATATCTGTTTCCTCACTTATAAAATGGAGACAATAACTGTACCTATCATGTAGTGTGCTGTACAGAACAAAGCTTGTCACATATTAAGTCCTTAAATAAATACTAGCTACTATTATTTCTTTATAATTTATAAGCAAATTCCTTACCAATTGGCACTATTAAAATATGCAAACTTTGGGCCAGGCACGGTCGCTCACACCTGTAATCCCAGCACTTTGGGAGGCTGGGGTGGATCACCTGAGGTCAGGAGTTCGAGACCAGACTGACCAACATGGAGAAACCCCGTCTCTACTAAAAATACAAAAAAAAAAAAAATTAGCCAGGCGTGGTGGGGCATGCCTGTATTCCCAGCTACTCGGGAGGCTGAGACAGGAGAATTGCTTGAACCTGGGAGGGAGAGGTTGCGGCGAGCCGAGATGGTGCCATTGCACTCCAGCCTGGGCAACAAGGGGAAAACTCCATCTCAAAAAAAAAAAAAAAAAAAAAAAGCAAACTTTGATGGGCAAAACCCAAATTATGCTTCATATTTTCAAGCGTCTTTCCATGAAAGGTAAGGGATTTATATTGACTGAAAAGTTTTTCCCACCCAAACACTGAAAAAACATAGTTGTTACTGAGACTGAAAGCCAGGGAATCATGAAAGGTAAAATATAAATGTGAAACCCGTAATCCATGTGCATACTAACCCATTGTACAAAATAAGAAGTTCAACACAGTTTATAAGTATGAAAAATCACAAACTGCTTTCTTAAAGATTAAAATTTAAACCTGCTAAAAACTCTCTCCTACATCATATGTTCAATATTTTGAATTTTATAACTTAGCTTGGATTTTATGTTTTTCATAAAACAACACTATTTGGTTGAATATTGCACCCTATTTTATTACAATAACATAGATTTAACCAAAAAAAACCAACAACAACAACAAAAAAGCTTGCCCCTCAACAGATAGCAGCCAATTACCTTAAATATTTAAAGTCAAAAAAGATAAGAAAAAAACTGAGATTTTTTCAAGCTCATTAAATATGTAATATGGGATGCAGTTAAGTCCTAGAGAACAAAAGCCAATGATTAAAATTAGCTGTTTTCTTATCTGGTAAAGAAGTAGGAAAAAAGTTTTTAAGTGAAAAGCTTACTGTAACCTTAGCCATAAACAAAGGGTGTAATCTTCTCTCTGGAGACCCCCAGGGAATCATCTGTTGCCATGGAGTCATAATGCCTGCAGCTAAACCAGACCTCATAATTAACAGTGATCCACAGCGCAAATGGCTAACATCAAGTACGAAATAAAATTACTTAATTTTCACAGCAAACAATACCTGTGCTTGTTTTAACGTACATGGTTTAAATATCTGCATTCCAAGTGTTCCAATATTCTGCATAACAGAATTCCATAAACTACATTAAATACCTTAGAATAAACACACACACACCAGGGAACCGTGTATACTACAGATGTATTAGTTAGCTGGCTCCAGAATTTGTTAATTTTGAGGGCTGCTAAATTGTTGCTATTAGAAAGGCTAATTGGATATTCAGTATTTATTCTTTGTTAGAAAAGCTAATTGGATACTCAGTATTTATTTTTATTTAAAAATCACAGATGATACAAAAGCTACAAGTAAAACAAATTTAAAAAAGCAAAAACAGGCCCGGCGCGGTGGCCCACGCCTGTAATCCCAGCACTTTGGGAGGCCGAGGCGGGCGGATCATTTGAGGTCAGGAGTTTGAGACCAGCTTGGCCAACATGGTGAAACTCCGCCTCTACTAAAAATACAAAAATGAGCCGGGTGTGATGGTGGGCGCCTGTAATCCCAGCTACTCGGGAGGCTGAGGCAGAAGAATTGCTTGAGCCCGGGAGGCGGATGTTGCAGTGAGGAGAGATCAGGCCATTGCACTCCATCCCCAGGCGACTGAGAGAGACTCCGTCTCAAAACAAAACAAAACAAAACAAAACAAAAACTTGATGGGCCCACTATTAGAGACGCTCAAGTTTGAGCTCTGTTTAAATTAAAGCAAAAAAAAAAAGTTTAAAATATATAAAATAAAAAGAACTGATAAGATGATTCTCAAATCTCATTGACCTTTTCAGTCTTATTTTTGAAGTGAGACCTCACAAAATGATACCTACAGGTGTAATACACGATTTTTAGAAATGAGTATGCTTAAAGCAATCCTCTCAGTGGTGTGTGCCCCCAATCAGGCAGTTTAAAAAAAAAAAAAACAAAACAAAACAAAAAAAAAACCACATAGCTTAATGTTTGATTTATTAAATATGACAGCGAATCATTTAGTTGTGTTATAACAGTTTATTATCATGGATTTAAATAACCATGTTTACATGTTTAAAATTATCACATCACTAGTTCTTGCTAGCTTTTGCCTTTTCTCCTGTAAGCACTGCTTTTACCGATAAGCTTAGATAAAATAGAAATACACCACCTTCTTTATCAATAATGTAGCACACGATACATTACTAAGGCTGGCATTTTCTTGATATTCAAGAATTTATGACAAGGAATGGGATCCTGGCATTAAGAATAAAGAGGAAAAAAACAAGTCATCTAATCCCAAAACCAGGTGGAAAGTTGGGATGGAAGTACGTGTATTAGCAAACGTTTTTGAAGCCAAAGCAATTTTCATGCAAGTTAAACTTTCTACAGAAGTTAAAAACCGAAGAGATACTGCTGTGATGACAAAACATAAGCGAATGGCCCAAAATGAGGCAAGTCCTTTGGAGTAAATGTTAGGTAGTATTCACATAGAACTGCTTTCTGCAATTAGGAAGGGCTGGAATGGAAAACTCAATGCCAAAGAGAGAAGAGAAGTTAAAAGTGTGACCCAAGAGGTCTGAAATTACACTTAACAGCAAATATCAAACCACCCCCACCAACGCCTCCAACTGGAAGCTGTCCCATTTCTCCAGCAGAGGAAGACACTAGGGATTGGCTAGGAGGAAACTGGGAAACGCGTACTACTGAGGAGCCCAGAGCCCTCAACCCGCACCTTCAGCAGGAGTGGCCAAAAAGGAGTTTGAGGCGGCCCCAGGGCTGGAGAAACATCAGGACGATGATACCACGCCCTTATCCTTCCCACCCTTTCCCCGCATCCTCAGCCCTATAGACCTCCGAAGAAAAGAGCGGTCCTTTGGGGGTCGCGGAGGCTGAGAAGCCGGCGGCCCGAGCGCCCTCTTTACCTGGTCGCAGAGGCGCGGCCAGGCAGGTAGGGTGCGTGAGCGTGTCGGCGACCTGGGCCGCCTGCGCCTTCCCGCCCAGCCCGAGCTGGAATTCCCAGGCTGCCTCTGGGAGCTGCTGCCCGCAGACCGCTCGCTTCCACAGAGGCCAGAAGAAAAACGACAGCTAGTTTATCTGGAAAACACTCCCGCCGGCCGTCATTCATAATCCGGCGGACCGGAAAAAGGGAAGTAACGTCACTTCCTACTGTCGTACTGCCAAACGTTTCCCCCGCCCCTACTGTGGGAACCTTTGTTTTTCTGCTTTCGGAGCCGGCCAGTGCGGGGACCGTTTCCGAAGGGACCACCGGGAACAGACGGATCGGCAGGGCGGGGCGGAACGGTGAGTTGTGCTGAGCGACTTTGCTCCCGGCCGCCTCCTGGAGGCTCGAGACCCCCCGCTAGGAGCGAGGTGGGAGAGTAGCTACGTGGGGTATTAGTTTCCTCGCTCCTCAAGCGGAATCATCATAACCTACGGGCGGTTGCGTTCCCTAGACTGACTGCTGTCCCCTTTCAGTGAGGACTGTGCTTCCTCCGAGGGAGTTGCGGGCCGGGGCATGCGGACCGAGGATATTTCTAGGTCTAGGGACAAGGGACTTGGAATCCTGCCTCGGACTTTGTCGGAGGGTTTTAGTCACTTCTCTACGTAGCTCCCTCATTGTCTCTCATCTTTTAGCTCCCCTGTCAAGGACCATCCCCCATTCTAGGCCTTCGATGTGTGATGCTTTGATCAAAGGATTGACATTCTTTTTCTAAGTGTTTGCTGTCAGCTTTCAGTCTCTTGATTGGTTTGGAATCGGAGCCTTTTCTCCTGCGATTCCAGGTGTCCCTAAGGTATCATTGTTACCCAGAACCAAGAACTCTGGAGGAATGAAAAAGGCAGCATCTTTAAAAGAATGTTTATTGGAAGGTGTTGCAAGAGTTTGCGAAGTCATGAAGAACAAAGTTTTTTAGAGCCATTATGAAATGGCAACGGTAATACTGCACTCTGTGTGCATAAATTCGGTTTCCTTCATCTGGGGCACATGCATATGATCAACTTTAGACTTCTTTTGAGATTGGCAGGTAGGGTGAAAGATGGATCTGGGAGAAAGCACATACTTACATTTATATATGAATGCCCAATTCAGGTTGGAGAAATCGCAGAAGCCTTATAAGGTGACATTTACCCAAAAAACCTAGTTCATTCATTGGGTAAATATTTTTGAGCCCTTATTAAGTTTCAAGCACTAGGGAAATGCAGTGAACAAAACAAGTTCCTGCTCTCATCAAGTTTACAGGCCAGTGGGATTAATGAATTTAAGCAAGCTAGGTGAAAGATTATGAGAGTTTTACAAATAGGAACATTGTACTACAAGTCTCCAGTCATGAAATGGGTGATTGCTTTGCTTTTGCTTTTTTGATGTTTGGAGTTTTTTTGTGGGGGCAGGGGTGAGTTACTTTTGTGATTTCTGCTGAAGGGACCTTGGAAATGGCTACAGTTGTATAGAAGGAGAGATAAGACCACTATACTTTGATCACTTAGTTCCAGTAATTCTATAGCCATTATTTGTGGTACTCTGCAAAGTAGCAAAGGGATAGGCAAAAGCATAAATATAGACTCTGCCCTTAAAGTACTCAGAGTTTTGTAGGGCACATAACACTTGTGCCAAAAAAAAAAAAAAATACTTCAAGGGAGAAAGTTGCACTACCATGAAAAAGCACTATGAGATATCCTTGAAGGGAGAGACTATTAATAGGGTTTGGAATGGAGAGGGGCACAGCAACTGTCAGTCAAATCTTCATGAGAAGTATTTGAACAGGGTCTTGATAGGATGTAGATATATAAAAATAGGTAAAGAGCTTCCCAGACAAAAAATTTAAAAAAAGAGAGGTAGGGCCAGCTAGCTATAAGGCAGATCTGGGGATGATGAATGATAATTTTTGTGCCAATTACTGAATCGTCTTAAATGCTAGGCCAAGAAATGTGGACTTTATTTTGAAGGTGGTGGAAAGCCCTAACTTCTCAGCAAGAATTTTTTTTTTATTTGAATGAAAAGGAAGAAAACTGGGTTTCAGGAAAATTTGTATGGCAACAAAGTTGAAGTCAAGGAAAATAACGAGGTTATTGCCATAGTTCAAGTAAGCTAATAAAACCTGAATTTCATTAGTAGCAGTGAAAGTGAAAAGTAGGGCAAGTGTGAAAAATATTGCAGAATCCACAGGAAAGGCCTGCTGATTATTTGAATATAAGGAGTAGGGAAAGACTCAGTGAAGGAAAGACTTTGGTCTCAAACCTGACTAAAAGTAAATTATGTCATTTATTGAAAGAGCAGGACAAGGAACTTTTCAGGAGGATAATCAGAATCTCAATTTTAGTTGTAACTGAATTGGAGATGCCTTTAAGGAACCAGATAGACACATACACTAAGCATTTGGAAACACGAGATTCAAATTTAAGAGATTTGGCTCGTACTTGTAATCCTAGCAATTTGGGAAGCCACAACAGGAGGATTGTTTTAGCCCAGGAGTTTGAGACCAGATGAGAGCAACATAGCAAGACCCTGTCTCTACTTAAAAAACAACAAAATTAACTGGGCATGGGTATGGTGGTACATGCCTGTAGTCCTAGCTGCTTGGTAGGCTGAGGCAGAAGGATCGCTTGAGCCCCAGAGTTCGAGGCTGCAGTGAGCCATGATCTCGGTGCACTCTAACCTGGGCAAGACCATGTCTCAAAAAAAAAAAAAAAAAGCGAGAGAGAGAGATTGGAGTTGGGGTAAAACATATTAAATCATCTACCCAGAGATGATAGTTGAAAACCTGATGTGTATAAGATTACCAAGAAGAAACTGCTAGCAGAACTAAGAAGATAGCCAAGGACAAACACTTGGACAATACCAAAAGCAACAAGCATCAGAAGACAAACCAGAGAAAGAGTAGTCAGAGATAGAAGAGGAAAAACAGAAAAGTTGAGTGTAACAGAACTCAAGGGAAGAGAAAGTTTTATGAAATTGGAAGTAGATAACAAGTATTTACTTGGCCAACATTTACTGTTATTTGCTGTTTTCCAGGAACTCTGCCAGACAGGGATTACAGCAGTAGGCAAGACCAATCCACTGCCTGCCTTCATGGAACTTACATTCTGATGGGAAAGAAAGATTATTTACATAATTAACAGTGTGATTAATATTATAAATAAGTACAGAATGTTTTTGGACTATGTAACAGTAAAACTTCTAGTTTTGTTGAAGGAATGTGCAGGAAAAACAGAAACTTGAGAGGTGACCTAAGATGGAGGTGGGGGTGGCACACTTTCTACTGAAGTACTAAGGTAAGAAAGAGTATATTGGAGGGCTTGAAATAAGTCATATAGCTATAACAGAGAGTGAGAATGGCCTGAGATACTAGGTAACATTTAATGAGTGTGAACTATGTGCCAGGTACTGTTGTAACTGCTTTATGTGTATTATCAGATCATGTAGAGCAATGGTCCCCAACCTTTTTGGCACCAGGGACCAGTTTCATTGAAGACATGGTTTCAGGATGATTCAAGTGCATTACATTTACTATGCACTTTATTTCTCTTATTAGTACATTGTAAGATATAATAAAATAATTAGACAACTCATCATAATGTAGAATCAGTGGGAACCTTGAGCTTGCTTTGCTGCAGCTAGACGGTTTCATCTGGGGATGATGGGGGATACAGTGACAGATCATCAGGCATTAGATTCTCATAAGGAGCACACAACCTAGAGCACTCACATGCACAGTTCACATAGGATTCACACTCCTGTGAGAATCTAATTCTACCACTGATCTAACAGGAGGCAGAGCTCAGGTAGAAATGCAAGTGATGGGAGTGGCTGTAAATACAAATGAAGCTTCACTTGCTTGCCTACTGCTCACCTCCTGCTGCATGGCCTGAAGGTTAGGGACCCCTGATGTAGAGAATTAGAGACCTTGTTAAGAATCTTATTCTTGAACCTTTGGATTGTGAGAAGCGAATAAAAGGATTTTAAGCAAGTGAGTGATATGAAAAGGTTTAGGGGATGACAAGAGTGGTTGTGGGAGACTGATTAAGCTATTGCAGTGGGCCAAATAATAGATGATGATAGGTTGGTCTAGAGTGGTAGTAGTAAGAATTGAAAAGGGTGGATAGATTTGAGATATGTTTGAGAGGTTTGGTTATTGAATTGGGGGTGGGAATTAAGGAAGTGGGAAGAGATAAAGCTGCTTCTGGGTTACTGGCTTGGGCAATAGGGTAAATATCATTTGAAAAAGGGATTACTAGAGGAAGAACTGGTTAGGAGAAAAGGGAAGAGTGTATGAGTGGCTCTGTTGGAGACACGTTCAATAGGAGGCACCAATGAGATATCCATGTCAAGCTGGCAGTTGGATCTTGGGAGAGAGACACATGGACTGCAGAGATGTATTAGTAAACACTGGCAAAGGACTGTATAGATCAAATTGTCTAGGGTAATAATTCCCAAAATTTAGAGTAGATGGAATTGCCGGGAAGGCTTAACACAGATTTCTAGACCCTACTCCCAGAGTTTTTTCTTCAGTAGGCCTAGGAATGGAGACCAAGAGTTTGCATTTCTAAGTTCTGACGTAATGCCTATGCTGCTGACTCAGAGACACATTTTTGGAAGAAGATGTAGAACAAGGAGAGACCCAGAACCTAGCATTGAGGATCTCATTTTTAATTGGAATAGGAGGAACCTACAAAGATGACTGACAAAGAAGTAGGAGAGAAAATCATATGTATTAGGTTTACTGATTGAGGCCACGAATGACTCATGAGAGCATTTTCATGGAATAGTGGGACAAAGGCCAAATTGCACAAATTGCTGTATAAGGAGAAGGAATGAAGAAAAAGAGTACAAAAATAGATGATTTCTGAGAAAGTTTTCCTATAAAAGAGAAAAGATAGATGTTTGAATATATTTAAATGTCAATGAGAAGATGCCAGCAGAAAGAAAAGGCTGGGGAAAAAAAAAAAAAAAAGATATGGGCAATAATCCATAGGCCAAGGTTCAAGAGGGGACAAGAAGAGAGAGGATCCAGATCCAGGTGACATTGCATGGAGAGCCACCTTCTCCTTTTTTATCGGATGTGAAAAAGTTTGAAAGGATGAGTGTAAGTAAGTTTGTAGATGTGCTGGAAGGAAGTTGACTTAATTCCTCTCTGACAGCCTTTCTTCTTTGTGAAGTAGGTGAGGCCATCTACTGAAACACAGAAGCAATTTTAAAAGAAAATGGAGAAAGCATAACTGATCTTTGCAGAAAATGGGGAATTGAGTTGACCAGAGAAGGATGAGAGAATTGCCAAGTTGTATTGAATGCCAACCTGAGAATGGTGATTCTGAAGATAGGGTGTATGTGTATTCCTCTCAGTTGCACTTAGAGTTTGGGTGCAGGCAGAGAGAGAATGACTAGCAGGGTGGATGTCTATAAAGTAAGGAAACTACAGGGCTTTCGGGTGCCTAGAGTACTGAAAGAGTTATTGAAAGGTTGGACCACAGAATGTGAGCTGGATAGGAAGTAAACGGCATACTGCAATAAATCAAGGATAATACAAGAAAGAGAAAAAAGATCATTGTTTAGTAGTGGGGGTTTTTGTGCTGTATGCATTTGACACAGCTAATTCCCAGCATCACCTAAGAATTCACTCTTATCAATACTACTACTACCAGTTCCCTAGGTCAGTGAAAGCTTTAAAGTGGTAAATATTAATTTTCTCACATTCCTTTTTTAAAGCAACATCTACTTTTTAAATGAAAGCTACATTTCATATACTAAATTTCCTTTGTATATACATTTTTCTTTCATACACACACATAGGACTTGTTTTCTAGAACTCTAATCCATAGTAAGAATGATATGGCTTTTTTACAGTCTGTTTTGGCCATGGGTTTAGGAATGAATATACAGGAAAGGAATTGTATGGAAGTAACATGATTTGGTGTAACTCCAGGAAAATATTTTTGTATATATAGATCAACACAGTTACACCAAGTTGCTGACCTCTTTATGACTGCTGTAGAAAGTAAAGTTCTTTCACTATATGGATATTTGCCAGTAAGGAAGGAAAAGTAACAGAAATTAGAGAAGGCAACAGAAAAGTGGGAGTAAAAGTAAGATAGAAAACTAAAATATAAAATATAAACCACATAACCATGAGTGTTTTATTTTAGGCTCAACTACTGTTTTCTGTTTGGTGAGGAAGCAAAAGTCAGGGCAAGAGGGTGCCAATAAGGAGAAAGCAGAAGGGACAAGAAATTGGAGGCTTCTGTAACAAAGAGCAAGTGGAATGGGAACAGAGAAATGAGTAAATAAATACAGAAGAAAGATTGACTTGGCACTTTGAAGAGGTCCCTGGGTTAAGGCAGTGGAAGAGATAGAGTAATGGAAGATTGTAGTCAGAAAGGAGAATTGATTGTAATAAAAGAGGTGTATAGTTTTTTTTGTGGCAAGTTTCAGATTTCACTGGCTGAAGATAAAGCTCCTTGAGGTTAAAGATCAATTATATAATACACTATTATAATTCTGTATATGAATAGATTTTTTAAAAAATAGAAATAGAAATAAATTTAAAAATTAATATTTTTTTCTCTGTATTTCACCGTGGGGGACCACTGGGCCAGAGGGCCATGTTAGTAATTTAGGGGAGGGGTACAAAGCCTGTTAAGTTTTATAATGGTAAGATTACATAAAAAGAACTGACTCCAAGGTTCCAACTGGAATGTTGGTGTTGATGACTTCTGTCGTCTTGTAATCTAGGTGCTGAATCTTGTCACCTAATCTGTAATGTAAACCTCTTACCTGTGATTGTAGAAATACATAGCAATAAATACTTGGCTTTCATTTTTCAGCATACAAATTTCAAGAAATGTTTTTTCTAATATATTACGAGGGTTATTTTAGGTGTCAACCCTTTGGTCGGTACCCAATAAAATAAACTGTTTCATAACAATCGGATAAGTAAACTGCTATTCCCTTTACCTATATGAAATTAGATCAGTAGAAAGATTAGTAAACTGTCATAGGAGTGGAATTTAAAGAAAAAAGACATTAGGTGGCTGTTACCCTTGTATATGCTGGAGGAATGGCATGTTTACCTTTTCAGTCATGGACATTTTATTAAGGAGCTATTTTTTCCTCAGAACATACATGGTGACCAGCCCCTTGAGTAAATTTTAAAATAACTTTCCTATACCTATCATTATGTAGAGGTGATGTATGTAATAATATAATTTTAAGAAGTGACAGAGGCTGCTTTTCAATTTTGTTAAATTCTTACAAATACAACAGTTTGAGATAAGGTAACTTTTTCATTGTAGTACTGACCTTTGGATTCCTTTCCATGTGTGATTCAGATAATATTTTAGTACAGTACAGAATTCGACAATAATTTTGTAGTTATCAGGTAGATAACTAATACCTTCCTGGGAACTTTAAAAAACAAAAACAAAAAAAAAAAACCTAGTGATGTGTATGTGTGTTTCTTGTCAGATGCGGAGAGGGGTGAAGAGTGAAGTTGGAGGGGAGGGAACAACAAAATCCATTTTCAGATGTGCTTTCATATGCTAGGATTCAACCTACAGCAAGTTTTAATGGTGTTATAAACCCCTGAAAATGGGAGATAACTGGAATTGCTGACAGTTCTCTAACTATAGCAGTGCAAGTGTGTTGCATTAATATAATATTAACCTCGAGGATAGAAGATTTCAAGCCATAGTATATTGATCAAAGGATTGAACACAAAGAATACATTTTTATTTTGATCATTTCTTGCCTGGAGAGGTTTTTGAAAAAGTGACAACCAGAAGCAGAACCACATGATAGTATTGGTATTAACTAAAAACAAAACTTTTTAGTACTGTGGAATTTCATAAGCCTTTGATGTATATCTTTATCCATCTTGGCTATTTTTTAAGCTCTTTAGGACACAAAGCGTCATAGACTCTGTGTGTGTGTGTGTGTGTGTGTGTGTGTGTTTGTGTGTGTGTGTTTTAAGTAGTTATGATATTATCCCTCAGAGACCTTACTTTTAAAAATAGGTTAATGCATAAGATACCACAATCTAAATGTTATCAAATAAGGTTATCATTAATATGTTTTCTGAGACATTCATGGTTGGGGCAGAGAACTAAAGAGGTGAATTAAAAAAAAAAAAAAAAAAAAAGAGTTGAGGTAAAAGTGGCAGCAGTGACCGTGACAGCTAATCACTTAACGCACCCTTTCACCGCTGCCCTCTTGTGATACCCCTTACACACACAAACACATGCACACTAAGACTTCCTTTGTGTTATGGAAATAAGGTTTGAGAGAAGAAATTTTGATACAGAGTAAACTTGACCTAAACCCATCAAGTTCTATGTACTGAAACTGCAAAGTGTATCTTTTAAAACACAGCTAGGAAGGAGTTCTGTGGCAGGGAGAAGCCTACCTGGATTTAAAAGGTTACCATCAATATGGATACACAGAAAACTGATACTGCTAGTTGTTTCAGGGGGCAGGAACTAGATAATGCCTGTCAGGAATAAGAAGGAAATTTACTTTTATTTGTAATAACTTTTTGATAATTTTACATTTTATATCATGTACACAGTATTATCTATTATAAATTTAAAAACAGAAAAGTAAAACTTTGACATAGATAATTGTGCATTGTCTTCTAAATTACGTCCTCTTTTTTTTCCTTCAGGTGTTTGCAATGGCTGCTACTGTGAACTTGGAACTTGATCCCATTTTTTTGAAAGCACTAGGTTTCTTACATTCAAAGAGTAAAGATTCTGCTGAAAAGCTAAAAGCACTGCTTGATGAATCTTTGGCTCGGGGCATTGATTCCAGTTACCGTCCATCTCAAAAGGTACCTGCATGAATAAAAAGCTTGAAGAGAGTTTTATAAGACCTGTAGTAGTACATTGATAACATATAGACCATCTCAATACAATCTCTGCTGAAATAATCTTTCCTTGTGGCACGGAGAAATTATATTTTCTTTTTTTCCTTCAAGTTTTCAGAGAACTGTTACACCACATAGAAAAATCAGCTGGGGGTGTGGGATATTCTGTTCTACTGCTTTATATGTATATGAATTCACTTGTTTACGGCTTAATTTCCGATTCTTTATGATCAGAATTTTTTTTAAGCTGCTGAATGTAACCACATATTACTTCTAATTATTCTCTATTGTTTTAAGGATTAAAAAAATCAAGTAAAAGCACAGATTTTTCAACAATATAAATTGAATATGGGTAGAATAATTTAAGAGAAAAGGAGGTATGGATGAACTCTGAGAAGTTTGTAGCTCCTGTCTTGATAATAACAAAACAGGCAATGGCAACTTTATGTGAAAAGAATATATGTTTTGATACCAAACATACCTGTTTTAAATCCCACTTACATCTTATAATTGTGTGATGATAATAGACAATGTATCTTGATGTCCCAGGTACTTTTCTGAGTAGTTTATGTGAATAATTAATTTTAATTATAATAATGATCCTTTAAGATAGATACTGTTTTCTTCATTTTATGTAAGGAAACTGAGGTACACAGCAACTTCATTTCACTTAGTCTGTTAATTGGTAAAATGGGGATGATAAGAACTACTTTGCAGAGTTGTAAAAATTGAAGGAGATACAGTAGATGAGTCACCTAGTGTAGTATCTGCCTGGTACATAATAGGCTGTTAGTGAATGACAACTCTTACTATATTCCCTAATACCTACTAAGACATTCTTTCGAATTCTTCTAAGCTGTTGTCCTGAAACTCCAAATCACTCAGGTCTGTGGACCTAGATCCCAAACCGAGAAGGAAAAGGTAGAACATGACTAGCTCAAGTCTCACCAGAATCTGAAGCTCAAGTAAACACTGGCATTTTGTCCCCAGCCTTCTTTCAATACTAGGTCTAGTACTCTGAAGCCTTTTTATTGTACTTTGAATAACAGAACCATTGTGACTTCATTTCTTCTATCTATTCTGATTCCAGTAGGTTCAGTGAGTTCAGATCGAGCAAATCAATATGGCTCTACAAAGCATACTGCCAAATTCATTCCACTGTGGGTGTTGGTATTGTCCAGTTAGGAAAACCTATTATTACTAAAGAAAAAAAATGTTTTAATGGAGTTCTAAAATGGAAGTTTATCTCTTAAAAAACATGAAAAATTTGTTGTGATTAAAAAGCATGCTGCCCTTAGGTTTCTAGCTAGAGTTTACTTCTCTTGGTCAGTTTTCAGAAACTCTTTTGTTACAGGTTTTTAAAGCCCAGGTCCATTTAATTTTAGCCTTCAGCTGAATATTTTCATCACTAGATTTATGTGAGAAGAGTGATTTATGCCAGTGTTTCTCAAACTTTAGCATGGATAATAATCACCTGGAGGCAGTGGTATGCTTATAAACATTACCAGGTCTCCAAGTGTATTCTAACATGAATATTGGTTGATATTCATTTACATTAATGAGGAAGGCAAATGTGAAATAATGCAGTTAAAACTTAACTCATCTGTCAACAACTAGAACAACTTTTTTGCTGAATAGGTAATAGTTTAATACTGCATGACTTTGTCCTCAATTTTTTAGTTACGCACAATACATGTTTTTTGGTTTTTTGTTGAGACAGGATCTCACTCTGTTACCGAGGCTGGAGTGCAATGGCACAGTCTTGGCTCACAGCGCTCTCTCCCTCCCAGGTTCAAGCAGTCCTCCCACTTCAGCCTCTTGAGTAGCTAAGACTACAGGTGCATGCCACCATGCTCGGCTAATTTTTTTATATTTTGTGGAGACAGAGTTTTGCCATGTTGCCCAGGCTGGTCTCAAACTCCTGTACTCAAGCGGTCTGCCCACCTTGGCTACCCAAAGTGCTGGGATTACAGGCATGAGTCACCACACCTGGCCCACCATACACTTTTAAGTTTAATCTGCATTATTAACATTTTCTTCAACACTTGACTAAGTCTACACCAGTGGTCAACAGACTTTATAAAGAGCCAAACAGTAAGAATTCTAGATTTTGTGTGCCAGATGGTCTCCATTGCAACTATTTAATTCTGCCATGGTAATGTGAAAGCAGCCATACATTATACATAAATGAATGGGTGTGGCTGCGTTCTAATATAAACTGTTTATAAAAAACTATTTATAGGCCTCAGTTTTAAGCAGTCAGCATAATAATATATCAAGCCCTGCCACCACTAGATCTGAGGAGCCATTCCTCCTTCCTTTTTCTTCTCTTGCTCCTCAGAGGTAGACGCTCTTCTGAAATTGATGTGTATTATCCCCATTTATACTTTTGTACTTTTACATATTATCACAGTAAAATAGACTGCACTCAGCTGCTTTAGTTTTATTTAGAATGGTGGGGGAGTGCCCTCCTTTCTGGGGAGGGGAAATTCCAAGGAGCTGTTACTATTAGTAACAATAAATAAGTTATCTATATCAGCAAAGCTATAATACATGAATAAGGGATCGAAGTTTTAAACAGAACGGAAAGACAGGCCACAGACTGAGAGAAAATATTTTCATATCGTATCTCTGATAAAGGCCTTGTGCCCAAAATCTATGATGAATTCTTTAAACTCAATAATGAAACAAACATTCATTTTTTTAAATGGGCAAAATATTTTATCAAATAGTTTACCAAAGAAGATATATGTATGCCAAATGAGCACTTGAAAAACTGGTCAGCATCATTAGTTATTGGGAAAATGTAAATTAAATCTAAATGAGATACCACTGCATACCTATTAGAATGTCTACAATTTAAAAAGACTAGCCATACAAATTATTGGTGAGGATGGAAAGGAGCTGGAACTCTCATATATGCTTAGTGGAAATATAAAATGGTCCTGCCACAGAGTTTGGCAGTATCTTAAGAAATTAAGCATATATTTAATACTTACCATATAACCCACTCCTATTTATTCTAGAAAAGTAAAAACATAGGTATGTACAAATACTTGTACATGAATATTCATAACAGCTTTATTTGTAGTAGTCCCAAACTGCAGACAACCCAAATATCCATCAGTAGGTAAATTGATAGATAAATTGTGGTATATTCATTCAATGGAGTATTATTCAGCAATAAAAAGGAATGAACTGTTTGTTGTTGTTGTTGTTGCTGCTGCTGTTGTTGAGACAGAGTCTCGCTCTGTCGCCAAGGCTGGAGTGCAGTGGCCGGATCTCAGCTCACTGCAAGCTCCGCCTCCCGGGTTTACGCCGGGGTTAGTTTTTTGTATTTTTTTTTTTGTAGTGACGGGGTTTCACTGTGTTAGCCAGGATGGTCTCGATCTCCTGACCTCGTGATCCGCCCGTCTTGGCCTCCCAGAGTGCTGGGATTACAGGCTTGAGCCACCGCGCCCGGCCAGGAATGAACTATTGATACACTTAACAACATGGATGAATCTCAAAATAAATATTCTGAGTAAAAGAAGCCAGACAAAAAAAGAATACATACTCTATGATTCCATTTATATAAATTTCTAGGAAATGCAAACTAATGTAATGTTACAGAAAACAGATAAATGATTGCTTGAGGATGGGAGACATAATTTCTCTAGTGTGTATACCTGTAAGAGGGTAATTACAAAGGGCCACAAGGAGATTTGGGGGGATGATGGATCTGTTCATTATGTTGATTGTAGTGATGGTGTCATAGATGTATACATATGTCAAAATTTATCAAATGTTACACTTTAAGTAGGTGTAGTTTGGGCCGGGTGTGGTGGTTCATGTCTGTAATCCCAGCACTTTGGGAGGCCGAGGTGGGTGGATCATTTGAGGCGAAGAGTTTGAGACCAGCGTGGCCAACATGGTGAAACGCCATCTTTACTAAAACTACAAAAACTAGCTGGGTGTGGTGGTGCACCTGTAGTCCCAGATACTCGGGAGGCTGAGGCAGGAGAATCACTTGAACCCAGGAGGCAGAGGTTGCTGTGAGCCAAGACTGTCCCACAGCACTCCACTCCAGCCTGGGCAACAGAGTGAGACTCCATCCCCCCCAAAAAAATAAATAAATAAAGGTACAGTTTGTATATCAGTTATTTCTCAATAAAGCTATTTATCTATTTAAGAAAGGAATATTACATTGGTTATAATGAGATGTCTTAGTTTTAAATGAAAATTGTTTAGATTAATGACCTATTTTTTATGATGATCAGTCTGAATATTTAATTACTGGTATCTTTTTTCATCTTTTAGGATGTGGAGCCACCCAAAATTTCAAGCACAAAAAACATTTCCATTAAGCAAGAGCCCAAAATATCATCCAGTCTTCCTTCTGGTAATAATAATGGCAAGGTCCTCACAACTGAAAAGGTAAAGAAAGAAGCCGAAAAGAGACCTGCTGATAAAGTAAGATTTTATTTTAATCTTGTTAAAAGAAAAAAGGTAAATTAGTTGTTCCATAAGCAGAAAGGAACAATGGTTTATGTCTATTTCTTTTATATAATAATGAGTATAGGTATATAATAATCATCACTCAGTGAATATGTATTGATAGCTATAGATTTTGACTTTGAAAAATGAGTAAAATTTACAAATTTTAAAGTTAAATGGTTAAAAGCTATTGTCAATAAATATTTGAACCCTAGGGAGTATAGTAATTTTGAGTATAAACTTTTATCTATGCCTCAGAGGTCCTAGATGGTACAGTTGTTAAGAAGAAAAGATAGATACACTTTGGGAGGCCAAGGCAAGTAGATTGCTTGAGCTCAGGAGTTCAAGATCAGCCTGAGCAACATGGTGAAATCCCATCTCTACAAAAAATACAAAAATCATCTGGGCATGGTGGCAATTACCTCTAGTCCCAACTATTTGTGGGCGGGTAGGGGGTGGAAGAATTGCTTGAGTCCAGAAGGCAAAGATTGCAGTGAGCGGAGATCATGCCACTGCACTCCAGCCTGGGTGACAGAGTGAGGCGCTGTCTCAAGTAAAAAAGCAAGCAAGCAAGAAAGAAAAGATAGGAGAGTATAGATGTAAATGACTAAACATAAACTTTATAGAATGGTATGCACCTGAGCAGGGCCACGGATGATTCTTGGATTGTCTATTTTTAGATGATTTCTACATATAGTAATTAAGATTTTAGTTAGAAAAAAATACATTTGAACGATATCTTCAGTAACCTTTGCCCTCAAGATGGAGTATATTATCCTGTATGTTTTCATACTTTTGCTAAATAGTGGCTATTCATAAACTGCGTTAGATTATTTCTCTGCTTTTAGATCTACATAAATGAGGCTGGGCGTGGTGGCTCATGCCTGTAATCCCAGCACTTTGGGAGTTTGAGGCAGGAGGATCACTTGAGGTCAGCAGGTCGGGAGTTGGCCAGCCTGGCCAACATGGCAAAACACCATCTCTACTTAAAATACAAAAATTAGCCAGGTGTAGTGGCGCACACCTGTAGTTCCAGCAGATCGGGAGACTGAGACATGAGAATCACTTGAACCCAGGAGGCGGAGGTTACAGTGAGCAGAGTTTGTGCTCCTGCACTGCAGCCTGGGCAACACAAGAAGACTCTGTCTCAAAAAAAAAAAAAAAAAAAATTATGTAAATGATATCATACTGTGTGTGTGTATATCCTTTGGTAACTTTTTCTCCACTCAACTATGTGCTTTTGAAATGTATCTATGTTGATGCATGTAGATCTAGATTTCTTTTAACTACTACATAATACTTACTCTGTGAATTAACCAGCTTATCATTCCCCTACTGATGCACAGTTAGATATTTCTCCTTTGTTTCTATTACAATGGAGTTGAAGTGAGCTACTTTATACAAATGTCATGTTAATAGTTTCTATAGGATGTATACCTATAAGTGAATGTAATAGGATATGACATCTTCAACATTGCTAGGTATTGCCAAATTGTTATCAAAAGTAGATGTACTAAATCTACACTGTCATCAACAAAGTACAAGAATTCCAAATTCCATGTCTTATCAGACTTTTTGATTTTTGCCAAATCTAATGGGTATATTGATAATATTTATATCTTAAAGAAGGGAATCCGAATTTGCTTTGAAGCAAATATGTGTTAAGTCTGTACAGTAGATACTAGTCTAAGTAAATCCATCGAACTTCCAGAAATCTTTAATAGATAGAAGAGTACAAAGAGAAATACAAATCTTTGTTAAACTGTTCTGATTTATTTATTTCTGTCTTGCTGGTTTCATTTAATGTACCAATAAATTCGTTATAATTCTTCTACAGATCGTTAATGTGCACATATGTCCCAAACTATGTGAATATATCTGTAAAATGGACTTGATCATTGCCTATTGTCCTTTTTATTCATCTTTCAGTGACTTAAAGTTTATTCTACCACATCACTTTATCATTTTCTGATGCCTGCTTTTTATAGATGAAATCAGACATCACTGAAGGAGTTGATATTCCAAAGAAACCTAGATTGGAGAAACCAGAAACACAGTCCTCTCCCATTACTGTCCAAACTAGCAAGGATTTAGCTATGGCTGACCTTTCCAGTTTTGAGGAGACCAGTGCTGATGATTTTGCCATGGAGATGGGATTGGCCTGCGTTGTTTGTAGGTAAGTTGTCCCTTGTCACAGATTATTTTGTTACTTTATGAAGAACACAGGACCCCTTTCCACTCCTCAACCCCCAGAATCAGAACAATTGTGCATTTTCTATTTTGTTTTTACGATTTGGAACTGGGGTGGAGATAAGTAGATGTCTTATGAACTGCCCATATAACAATTTAACATATTGAAAATTGTCAAATATTTTGTCTTTACCAACTATGGCTTTTAAATCCGTTATGTTGTAACATTTTCTGCATTTTTGGGTTCCAGAGGGAAAGTGATTATTATATTATGATATATATGCCTATGATAATCTAAGGCTATGGTGACTGCCTTTTGTGCTGTTGGAATTTATACTTTTTTATACACATATGGCTTCATTCTATTAATCTGATCAGACATTCATTGAGCACCCTATGTGTGTGCAGTAACGTGCTAAGGACTGTGAATAATTAGGTCCAGTTCTCACCTTTAGGTAACTCATATTAATGAACAACAACAACAACATATAGCTAACTAATATAAGGGAATTTAATAGAGATACAAAATGTTATGAGACTGTTGGAAGACTAATCAGAGTTTACTACCTTCTGAGAGAAAGACAAAAATTATAATGAGAAATGACAAGGAGAAAATAGCCAAATTTAATCATGGCATTCCATGTATTTATTAATGGTTGACCATAAGCTTTAAAAAGATTATGCTTTTGTGCATGCTATGTGTTGGAGTTTGTTATTTTGATCTTTGGGTTTCTGGGATTTTTTTTCTTTTTAATATACCAAACTTTACTAGAACAACCCTGAAATAACATTTTTTTTTTTTTTTTTTTTGAGACAGAGTCTTACTCTGTCACCAAGGCTGGAGTGCAGTGGTGTGATCTTAGCTCACTGCAGCTTCCATCTCCGGGGTTTAAACCATTCTCCTGCCTCAGCCTCCCGAGTAGTGGGGATTATAGGTGTGCACCACCACGCGCATCTAATTTTTGTATTTTTAGTAGAGGCAGGATTTCGCCATGTCTGCCAGGCTGGTCTTGAACTCCTGACCTCAAATGATCCGCCTGCCTTGGCCTCCCAAGGTACTGGGATTACAGGCATGAGCCAGTACACCTGAAATAACTTTAAATTATTGCATTAAAAAAGTAGTGTAATGTTTAATGGTGTGTTTTCTTAGGCAAATGATGGTGGCATCTGGCAATCAATTAGTAGAATGTCAGGAGTGCCATAATCTCTACCACCGAGATTGCCATAAACCCCAGGTGACAGACAAGGAAGCGAATGACCCTCGCCTGGTGTGGTACTGTGCCCGATGTACCAGACAAATGAAAAGAATGGTAGGAATCGTATTTTTATTTATTTTAAACAGTCTGTCAATGTTTCTGTTGGTATGTGCTTTCAAAACAAAGATTTGAATATTTAAGATATTGAAAAAATAAATAATATAAGCTGATTATTTAAATGTTTATATGTATAGTATATATATGTGATTAATATTTCTATGGCTAAAAACCAGACCACGTTATGTGCATTTTTCTCTGTTTAGTTTTATCTACTTCTAATATAGATAAACAAACAAGATTGGTGACACACAAATTATGAATATTCCTTACTAGTCTGTCAATGTATTTATAAACATTTTAATATACCATGCAGCACTGAGAATTGGTGAGATACAAAGCGCCACTCTTTGTTGAGGTCTGGTAAGGAAATATAGAAAATTCCTGAGTGAGCTTAAACCACCAAATGAATAAGATGTGTACAGAGGCGATATTTATATGTGCATATCCGTCTTTCCAGCTGCATTTCTCTATTGCTTAGTCTTTCCTTCTCATTATCCTCAAGTGACCATTACCTCATTCTTCCAACATACTTTTTCTTTTTACTGTTTACTAACATACCTGCCTTTAATATCATAGTGAAATACATTTTCATTTGTTATATTGGATAGTTTTCTAACTTTTATTCACTTATAAAATAGATAAATGATAAAAGAATTTCATAATTTTCTTTTAAAGAAAACAAGAAATTGCCATAATGTCTTATTCGCTACCTCTCCCTCACACTTCCATCTCTCTTCCCCTGCCTTAAATTAATGATTCTCAATTGCAGAGTTCTCATGTCTGTTAATCAAATGAATTTCTACATAAATTTGTCTAACCAATATATCTTTAAAGGTCAGAAGTACTTAGTTAAAAGTAAAAATTCGAGATACCATTTTACTTTTTAATCAGTTAAATCAGAAATAGGAAGTGTTTTTATTCCTATGAAATAAAAAGTAGTAAATGAAAAGTGTGGATATCAATAGTGTATATTTCTTACTTGTAACAGGAAATTTCTGTGACAAGTTACAATCTGTTCTGCTCAGTTTGATTTTTATTTAATTTATTATTTAAACTAGCCCTCCAGGATCTAAAGTGAAATTATTATAGATGAGCAATGCATTCCAGAGCATTGATAAGAAACCACTAAGAATTGGAAATTGTCAAAAGAACAAATTGTGACAATAATCTGTCTTTCTTTAGTATGTACTCAACTGTTTCATTATTATTATCACTTTAGCTCCCTTAATATCTAAAGTAAGCACTATTCTTCCCCCACGTTTTTTCTCCTCCATTTTTTGGGGATTTATTTTATGTCAAATCTATGTTTATGGTTCTAACCCTCTTCCTGGGTAAGCTTCTATAGCTAACTAGATAGTCTATAGATACTTTAAGTTCAATATATTTAAAAATAAAAGTTGTTCTATTATCCAGTTTTTTTTTCTGCAATTGCCTGAATTAGAAAACATCTTTGATGCCTCTCTTAATTCATATCCCTTTGTTTACCAGATTTGTTAATTCTCCCTCTTATATGTCTCTGAAATCTATTCATTTCTCTTTTATTACCCTGTTCCACAAATGCATTACTTGTCTATTGCAATAACCACTTAAGAAATCTCCTTGCTTCCCATCAATCCACTTTGATTACTGTCATTAGAATTCTTCTAAAATATTTATCTGCTTATATATGCCCAGTGGCTCTCAATTACTTATATAATGAGGTTATACTCATTAGGATGCATATATGGACCTTCTCTTTTTGACCCGACTCTACCTTACAGCCCCTTCTCTCACTGCTTCACCATACACATTCATACACTCTGGCCACTCTGACACAGACGAAGTGTGTAATTACCTGAATATGTGGAGAACTTTCATGTTCTGCTTCTCAGCTTCTTCATCTGGGATACTGTTTATTCTTTTATCTGCTTTGCAAATAATATCTAATTTATCAGTAAGATCATGTAATTCATTGGCATAGCACTTAAATGGAGCTCAAGACTGACACATTCTACATTCTGTTGTTCTTAAGTTAAATAAAATGAAGCAAATATAATTTTTTTTTTTTTTTTTTTTGAGACAGGGTCTCACTGGTGTCTAGGCTGGAGTGCAGTAGCGTGACCATGGCTCGCTGCAGCCTCGACCTCCCAGGCTCAAGCAATCCTCCCACCTCAGTCTCCCAAGTAGCTGGGACTACAGGCATGTGCCACCAGGCCTAGCTAATTTTCTTTATTTTTTGTAGAGATGGAGTCTCCCAAAGTTCTGGGATTATAGCCATGAGCCACCATGTCAGGCTAAATGCAGATTAGTACCAGAAATCAACAGTGAATCTCGTCTGTGTGTCCAAAAGTCAAAGTACTAAATGGGGAGTCATGGCTAATATTAAAACATGACTAGAATACACCAAGAGTAAATGTGGGGAAATACCAAAAGACATGATCTGAAGTGAGCCTAAAGATCAGAATCCAGGAAATGTAAGGTTTAATGAGATAATTTTGAAACAGTGGGGATTCTAAATTGAGTCATTCTAACTATAATTGCTTTGAGTGAGATTCTCATATGTGCATTGGTTGGTGTTCCAAGGTATCTCAAAGATATTATAAATAGCACCTGATATCCCCTTTCTCTTCGCACAGATTCCTCAAACTGGGGCAAGTTCTGCAGTACACATTGTTGTAGGAAGACCTAGTTAAGAATGTTATCGTGTATGGCAGGGTCCAAGGTTATTCTTCAGTTCTATAATTTTCTCTCTACCCAGTAGTGGGTTTTTCCCCAGCTTCAGGTGAGAGACTCATATCACTTTTGCAGTGGTTCTCAATCTAAGGTAGTAATACACTCCTGTTTCACAGCATTTAAAAATATGTGGGGTTTTTAGTGCTGCCATTTTGGCAGTTAGTGCCTTAGTGGAGAATTTTATACATTTTGCAGTGTTTGAAGCAGTCACGCAATGAAACTTTTAGTTCCTTTATTGAACAAAACTGAATCAGTAATTATATCCTAGTTCCCTAAACTGGTATTACCAGTGAAGGACAAAGGATTTTTTACTCAGTTTCTAAGATGGCTGGATAAAACAGGGAAGGCAGAAGATCCAAACATGATCTCAGGCAGAAGTACTTCCTGGGGCTTCATCATAATTAGTCTTTATCTGTTAAAACATACAAGTTAGGTGGGTCCTCAGAGTCTAAGCTCAGGAGTGCTAGATGTGGGTGGAATGCAGTATAAAGATCAAAAGCCATGGTTTTGGAGCCGTATGTTTCTGTTTTACTGTGAGGGATGCATTCTCATAACATGGTTTTGCAATAAAGGATAAGATGGCTGTCCTTTCCTGCTAGTACCAGTAATCAACAGTGAATTACTTTGAACATTCTTAATATTCTTGATCTGATTTTTGGTTTATAAGTGGTATTGAAGGTAGGTGTACTTTGATGTGGAAGGTATGTGTATAAAAAGTGATACGAATTGAGATTTAAGGACCAAAACTATATAGTATGGCAAACGGTAGCACAGAATTACACAAGAAGACCCAAACAAGAGCAAAATAGGCCAAGTTCTGGTTTCCAGAAATGGTGACAAATTGTTAATAAATTGTCTAGTACAGTACTGTATAGACTTATGAAGATTAGCAAAGACTATGGAATGGCTGGTGGGAAGCATCTTTCCCCGTTCAGTATGCGTGGATTTTTCTGGATTCCGTTTGATTATCCTTTTTAAATAATAATGATGAATAAACAGTAACTTTTTGTTAGCACTCAGCATATTCCAAATACTGTGCTAAACTCTTACGTAAACATAATTCATCCTCATAACCCACCTTTGAAACAAATGCTATTACCATTTTACAGATGAAGAGAATGAGGCTTTTAGAGATTCACATGTTTTGCCTGAGATAATGTACCTAGAAAAATAGTTGCTGGGTTTTTTTCTGTTGTTTTTTGAGATGGAATTTCGCTCTTGTTCTGCAGGCTAGAGTGCAATGGTGTGATCTCAGCTCACTGCAACCTCCACTTAATGGATTCAAGCCATTCTCCTGCCTCAGCCTCCCAAGTAGCTGGGATTACAGGTGCTCACCACCATGCCCGGCTAATTTTTATATTTTTAGTAGAGACAGGGTTTCACCATGTGGGCCAGGCTGGTGTCAAACTCCTGACCTCAAATGAACCACCCGCCTCAGCCTCCCAAAGTGCTGGGATTACAGGCGTGAGCCACTGCACCTGGCCAGTTGCTGGGTTTTAATCCTAGCTCTGTTTGACTCCGAAAATTACTCTTAATATTACTGCACATAACCATTTATAAACAGTTACAATTATCTACCTAGAAAACACTAAAAAATAAACTCAAAAATGATTAGAGTTTATAGGAAAATTTAGTAAAGTGCCTAGTTATAAAATAAAGGAAAAAATCAATTATTGGTCAAAATATAACAGAAGATGCTTATAAAGTAATAGTGGGTGAAAATTCTTTGATAACGTAGAAATTTGTATTTATGAACTTTCTCTAAAGATTTAGCGTGCCTAGTTTTGCAATGTGGAAAAACCTCAAAAAGTTTCATCATTTATCAATAGTTTTTTTTCTCCCTATTCTTCATGTAAAACCTTATAAATGATCTGAGCTGTGTTTTAATTTGCCCTCAGCAAATGAGGGACTTATGCCTAGACCCCAAGAAGAAAACTCCTACATATTTGACCAACCCCAATGAGAAATAAATGTACTTCATCATGAGTAAAGCTAATGCTTACATATAGTTTGTGATTTTTCTTTTTAAAAAACAATTTTATCTTGTTAAAATGTTATTTAACCCTATTCTGTATTATTTCTAAAGCTTAATATTATCTTTACTGTTTAGAAACTAATACAATCTGTAAAACCATTAATATGATGATAAAAATAATTTGTCAAAGAGCATATATATTCATTATCATCACAGTACTTTTTTAAATGTTCAACTGTATTTAATTTCAATGATGAGTCCTGTGAGAGATTATTATCTTTTTGTATGTTCAGTTAAGAGTTTGTATCTGATTTAATCCACTGATTTTTGCAGGCTCAAAAAACTCAGAAACCACCACAGAAACCAGCCCCTGCAGTTGTTTCTGTAACTCCAGCTGTCAAAGATCCATTGGTTAAGAAACCAGAAACTAAACTGAAACAAGAGACAACTTTTCTAGCATTTAAGAGAACAGAAGTCAAGGTATAGTAGATTCTATTTTTATCTAAGATTGTATCTTAAAGTTTAGTTAATTAAACAATAGTTGCTTGATAAAAAATTTAATGAGAAACTTTATATACTAAATGGCTATATTTTAGAAATTAAGACTTTACTACTATTATATTAGGTAGAAAGGGAACATTTATATCATTAATTAATCTCTAACTCTGCTGTTTTTCTTTTTATCACAAATAGGAGCAGTCTATGATCATTCCAAAATGATATTCTTTACCATTCTCATCTGGTTCAATACTTATCTCCAATCAGAAATCTGGTTTAAATTCAGGCTAGGTGCCATGACTCATGCCTGTAGTCCCAGCACTTTGGGAGGCCAAGGCGGGTGGATCACCTGAGGTCAGGAGTTCGAGACCAGCCTGGCCAACATGGTGAAACCTCGTGTCTACTAAAAATACAAAAATTATCAAGGCGTGATGGTGGGCACCTGTAATTCCCAGGCATGGTGGCGGGTGCATGTAATCAGCTACTTGGGAGGCTGAGGCAGAAGAATTGCTTGAACCCCTGAAGCAGGGGTTGCAGTGAGCTGAGATAGTGCCATTGCACTCCAGCCTGGGTGACAAGAGCGAAACTCTGACTCAAAAAAAAAAAAAAAAAGAAAAAGAAATCTGCTTTAAATTCAAAATACCTCTGCCCTCAGTAGCAACAGTTTTGCCCCCCACACTACTTGAGCAGAGTGGTCTTGTAATTTTTTTTTCTCCCTTCTTATTGGCTATTGAAGGATTTTTCTTGCTTTGTCTTGTTTTGTTTCTTTATAATAAACTTTCAGTCCCTTATACCAAGGGACCACATTGTCTAGAGAGAGTATCACCTTTCTCATTCCTAAGGTTGCATCCTTGAAATCATACTACATTATTATTATTATCTTGGCATTTTTATATCATGAAAAAATAATTTTCTAATCTAATTTTATAACAAAAAGAAGACTTCTACTGAGGTACACATTCCAATGTTAAGCATAGCACTAAACATGTAAGAAAAAAATATTAGCCTCAAATTCTCAAAGATTGACCTGAGAAAACTCTAAAGTTACTACCTTATCTAAGTGACTGTAAATAGTAAGCTTAATACCCTTGATATGATGAAAAAGATTATGAATATAAAGTACTTTTAAAAACTTATTGATAATTATATTTGGAGGTTATTTTTCATTTTAATTTGCCCGGGAAGATTTGCTATCCAAGGCATATCCATTATTGATTTGTCATATCGGAACTTGGTGAATTGGAATAGAAGTAAGAATGACCAGTTTATTGAAAGTAATTAGAGTTGCTGTATTCTGCACATAATCACTTTTTAGGAGATTTTTAGACTAATCTGTTACTTCTAAAGTTTATTTTTAGAAAATTCAACATGAAATCATTTTATGGCAAACAAATTAAAGACTTTGCTGTTATATTTGTTTTGATAAAGAGGTTTTGTGTTTTTTAATAAAAAATTCACTTTTTATAAAAGTGAATAAATTTGTACCATAAAAAAATTGTTCCCATTCACATATAAAAAGCAAATGTCTTTTCTAACTTGCCCATCTAGCAAATAGGCAAAAAAATATTTATAGTTAAAAACTTGAAAAATTTGTTTTCTATGCTGAAATAGTAAGAAATCACTTGGTCTCCATTGTTTGTGTTATATTACTCTTATGTGTCCTGATAGTATTATAAACCATCTGTCATCCTGTTGAAAAGCAATACTAAGCAACAGCAAGCCATTAAAATGAAATGCCAGACACATAGAACTTGCTTTCTTGCTTGTACTTCCTAAGTGTTGGTCTTGTAATTACTAAAGATGGGTTTTCCTTTGTGAAGTTTGTTGAAAGATCATTTAACCATATGGCAGACAGTTTTATCTTTAATAGCAAGAAAAGGAAAAAAAAAAAAGTTAGGTGTTTCATAACTGAAAAGTAAATGTTTACTTCTTGACTAACTTTTTCTCTCATTGCTGGTATATATTCCTCTAGGAATGTATGGTTTATGTAGTTTTTCTTCTCTGGATAACTTCGTAAGATAATTAATATATTACCGTAAGAAAACATCCTATCAATTTTCAGAGTATGTGGACAAATATCTGGATTCCTTCTCTTATAAAACAAAGATCTCAGAACTCTATTTTTGTTACTTTTCACATTGATTAAAAATGTATGCATGCAGACAATATTGAAGGCTACCTTGATTTCAAGAGCTCAAAATGTTTTATCAACTATTTCAGAGCGAAGTTCTAAATTATAACTGGATATATTTTAGGTATAACTACCATTTTTTAAGTAGGATATTATTTTGTAAAATTTTATCTCTTATCTATATATGAACTTAACACTTTTGTGAATCTTCTTAAGAGTGTAAAGGTAGAAAAGGTGTCAATAAGAAGTTCAATTCAAAATTAATTTGAACTACGTACATTTGTGCCTAATGTGAAAGTGAAAAAATATATTCTTGTGTGAACAAGAGCAATATGTGTTTATATAGTGGCATTGGTATCATTGTGAGCTTCTGATTAGCCAGGGAAGTTAATCAGAAAAGTTGAAGGGTTATACCTTTATGAAATATATCAGAGAGTGAGATCAGTCCTACCGAAAATGTCACTGTGCAGCCTAATGAGGCAATTGATAAAATCCTTATTAAAGGAGCAGGAGACTTTTGTATGATAGTTTAACTGGAATCATGGGCAAATTGTGAAACTAAAATCATGAGACCTTTTTAATACATCATGCAAGTTGTACACTTCCAAGTAATTAACTTTGCATATATTTTGTACTCCTGTAACTGTTGCTCAAAATTTAGGAGAACATTTTTTTAAATGGGTTTAGAATCTATACAGCTGTCTTCTTTCTCTCACACAGTCACTCAGTAAATAAACATTGACTGAATCTCTTCATCTTGGATATGTTCTCCTGAATATTCTGGGTATGGGCATTTTTGCCCCTTAAGGATGAATTAAATTTTTGAGATGATCCCTAGTTATTTGGAGCAAAGTCTAAAATAATTAGATGTTTAATTAAGCTAGATAATACTTTGTTGGGTAAAAAGTATATTAAAGCACTAAATCTGGTTTTCAGATATAGCTTAGAATTGAATCTAAAAGCAATTCTCAAGAGGGAATTTCATATATTTTCTTTTGGAATCATTAGAACAAGAATATGGTATCAAAAATTTTCTGTTTTGGAAATGATAATATCCGCTAGATACAGATAAGTTTTGTTCTGTGTGGTTTTTCAGATCTGCTTCATAAGAACCTAATTTAGTGGTGTGATTTAAATTTCCCAATTCATAACTTAGATATAAAAAGTCTAATGAGTTTTTGTATATTCAAGGATGTTTATATAGGTATTGATTATACTTGGCTCTAATGTAATATTTACCTTATTTTTTTAGACATCCACAGTTATTTCAGGAAATTCTTCTAGTGCCAGCGTTTCCTCGTCAGTAACTAGTGGCTTAACTGGATGGGCAGCTTTTGCAGCCAAAACTTCCTCTGCTGGTCCCTCAACAGCAAAATTGAGTTCAACAACACAAAACAGTACTGGGAAACCTGCTACCTCATCAGCTAACCAGAAACCTGTGGGTTTGACTGGTCTGGCAACATCATCCAAAGGTGGAATAGGTTCCAAAATAGGTTCCAATAACAGCACTACGCCCACTGTACCATTAAAACCACCTCCACCTCTAACCTTGGGTAAAACTGGCCTTAGTCGCTCAGTTAGTTGTGACAATGTCAGCAAAGTAGGTCTTCCTAGTCCAAGTAGTTTAGTTCCAGGAAACAGCAGCCAACTAAGTGGGAATGGAAATACTGGAACATCAGGACCTAGTGGAAGTACTACTAGCAAAACTACTTCAGAATCCAGCAGCTCTCCCTCAGCATCCCTTAAAGGTCCAACTTCACAAGAATCACAGCTCAATGCTATGAAGCGATTACAGATGGTCAAGAAGAAAGCTGCCCAAAAGAAACTCAAGAAGTAATGTGGCCAAGTAGGTTTTTATATCATATTAGCCTAAAGATGAAAGGCTTATTATTAAGATATATGTAATATACTGTAATTTAATAAAAGTCTTCATAATCAAATTTCTATTGTTTCTTGCCTTAAAATGCTAAATATATATAACAAAACTTGGAAACGTTTATTTTAAATCAGTCTTCAACATTTTTATTTTAATGATTTCCATAGTGTGTGAAAACAATGATTAGAATGACTGGTTCTCAATGAGAACTTCAGAAGATTGATAGCATCTGTGAATTTAAGGAAAAAGAATTAGTTCATCTTCTAGCAAAGCCCCAAGAGTTGATCCTGATGAATGAGGTGCCTTATGTGGTGGCAGGGATGACCCAACATAGTTTTTCTATTTTCCTACCCGTATTCTGGGTGTTCATTTTCTGTGCTAGCCCCATTTCAACTGACTCTCCCTTTCCCTCCCAATTATTTCATCTTTTTAAAAATTATTTTTTCATTATTGATTTCTCATATCAATGGATTTTCCTAATTGATTTATCATACTTCATATTGTATCTTTACCTTTTTTTATCACCTCATTTCAGTTATTGAAGGATACATCTTTTTCCAATAAATTGTGAACTCTCTTGGTGTTTAATACAGTATTTTTTCTCAAGTTGCTCACTTTACCTACATTGCCAATGTAATATATGCACATAGTGCGTAATAAATGTTGAACTTTGATTCATCCTGGTTATGCACATTCCTGATAAGTTTTGGAGAAAAGTATCATTTCCCAAGGGTCTTTGCAGATAAAAATGTATGACTTGTTCACACACTGATGGCTTCTTCCTATACCATGAAAGAAAAGGCTATCTTACTTAGTGCTCAAAATGTTATAGTATTTTACCTAATTTTAGCTAACTTTGTATACAATAAGCTCCTATATAATGATTAATTCTTGAGATTGTTTTGTACATTGTTAACCCGTTTATGCCAGAGGTTGCAAATTTTTTTGGTGAAAAATCAGACCTTGGAGATGACCTTGAACAGTAGGATATAAATAACTCCCACAAGCTGAGGATTGCAATAATGGAACACTAGGCATAAATGGGTTAAGTCAGAAAATGTGGAAAGTCTGAGTTGTTGTCTTACTTGCAAGCTAACAAATTAACCAGCAATTGTTGCACATGTATATTCTGAGAGACGATAGGCAGCCCTCTGCATCAGAGAAACAGTTTATTATTCACAGCAAAAAAACTGGATATCCAACAAATTCCCACATTCACAAGGACTGTGAACAGCCTGTTCCATCAACCTTAATGTGTGCTACTAAATCTTCACTCTACAGATCTCTAATCTCAAACTGTCTTCCTTAATCCCTAGGTTTTTCTAACAGCATTATTCTAAAGTATATTGATAGGTGATCTCTATAAACACAAAGCTTTTAAAATTAAGCTTGGTCTTTTTTTTTTTTTTAAAGGAAAGATTATTATTTTAAACTGCTCTGTTAAATAATGGTGCTAAATTATTTGTAGTAAATTAGAATCCAGGATTGAGAATCCATTATCTCAATCATTATCTCAATAGGCAGTAAATGTCTGTTACCCCATATGTAAATAATGAATTATCTCAATCCTACAGAGACTTTTGCTTTGAGAAACAGATTTATTGTGATAAAACATCAATTTGACATAAACCCCAATTTCCCTTCGGGGTCAAAGAAACCAAAAAATGCATATCCATAATTGTTTATAGTTCAAAACCAGTTTGGACTAAACAAAATTACCTGACATAAAAACTCAGTTCAGCAACTATAACAGTTAACGTAACCTCTGTACCTACAAAAAAATGAAAGCAGTAATGTTTATTACAGTTCACACACTGGCACTTGAAATGAAAACATTTATCCCATCACAGAAAACACGTGCTAGATAGAGTTGAGAAAAGAAGCAATTATTTTAATTTCTATTGTACCTCAGAGGGAACTTTAGTTTAGGAGGTAACTTATCTTTCACTGAGTATGGCTCTTTGTATAGATAATATGTGCATACATATATTTAGGTTATGTACATATGTATAAGTACACATATACAGTATTAGCTCAGTTTGGTATTTTATAGAGGTATATTTGGTATTAGAGTTTAAATTGTCTCAAGGAGCTTTTAGACCTTGATTTTTTTCATATCGTAAAATGAGCTACAAGACCCTTTAACTGAGCAGTAAAGAAAGTAGCCAGTTTTATATAAATAACATTTATTATTTTATGATCATTTTATTTAGTTTGTTATGTGCAGATGTTTCCCCCACTAGAATTTAAGTGGTGTGAAGGGAGGGATCTTGTTTGTCTTTCACAGCATTGTATTCCCACTGTAACTCTCAATAAATACTTACTGGTTCAATGAATGAATGGACAGATAAGCAAGTGTGCTAACAAGTAAGCTTTTAGGATTATACATTTTAATGCCATTAGTAGATATGTGGTCACTATCATTTTTCTATTTTGCATATCATGATTTTTGTAAGGTTATATAACTGTAGATTTTAGTGACTTAAGGAAAAGAAAAGGGAAAACACTAAAAGAAAAGGCCTTAAAATCAGAAGACCTGGTTTTAAATCCCAGTCCCTCCATGTGAGTTCCTCAATTTCCTCCTTTATAAAACGTAGATGATAATGAGATGTCCTTCAAGTCCATAGTGGATCTGAAGGGGGGGCTATTATTTTCTGTGAGACCAAGAAGAATGTAACTGACATGGCCATGAATCCACACAAAACAGAATGCACTGTGTTTACATGGGACATTGCACAGTCACAAAGATAAATTACACTACAAGGCTTCAGAGAGATAATTATAAAGTTTTGGTGGCAACCAACGTGGCTCCTTGTGGTTTGGACATTCCTGTAGTTGACCTGGTGATTCAAAGTTCTCCTCCTCAGGATATTGAGCCCTATATCCATATCCATCTCTCTGGATGCACAGGTAGAGCTGGACAGACAGAAGTTTGTATATGGTTTCTTGTTTGTTTGTTTGTTTGTTTGTTTTTTCAGACGGAGTCTTGCTCTGTTGCCCGGACTGGAGTGCCGTGGCGCGATCTCGGCTCACTGCAGGCTCTGCCCCCGGGTTCACACCATTCTCTTACCTCAGCCTCCGAGTAGCTGGGACTACAGGCACCCGCCACAATGCCCGGCTAATTTTTTGTATTTTTAGTAGAGACGGGGTTTCACCATATTAGCCAGGATGGTCTCGATCTCCTGACCTTGTGATCCGCCCACCTCAGCCTCCCAAAGTGCTGGGATTACAGACGTGAGGCACCACGCTCGGCTTGTATATGTTTTTATCAACCAAGAGAAAGAGGTCAACTAAGATACGTGGAACAAAAAACAGGAATTACTTTTAAACATGTAGGTGTTCCTTCTACAATGGATTTAGTTAAATTTAAAAGCATGGATGCCGTAAGGTCTCTGGCTTCCATTTCTTATGCTGCTGTTGATTTTTTTCCAACCATCAGCTCAGATACTGATAGAAGAGAAAGGGGCGATGGATGCATTGGCTTCAGCTTTAGCCCACATTTCTGGCGTATCAAGCTTTGAACCATGATCTTTAATCAACTCTGATAAGGGTTTTGTGATCATGACTCTGGAAAGTCTAGAGGAAATACAGGATGTCAGCTGTGCTTGGAAAGAACTTAACAGAAAGCTGAGTAGTAATGCAGTGTCTCAGATTACCAGTGTGCCTCCTGAAAGGAAATATGGGTGTTTGCTTTGATATTCCTCCAACTGAGTCAGAAAGGCTACAGGCAGAGTGGCATGATTCCGGCTGGATACTCTGAGTGCCAGCTAAATTACCTGAAGTTGAAGAATATTATGATGGAAACATCTTCTAATTCCAGACAGAGGAGTGGCTGGTCAGGTGGGTCAGGTGGTCAGTCTGAGGGCATCACTCAGGAAGTTGACAAGGTGGTAGAAGACAAAATGGAATAGAAATCGATCAAGAAGTGGGGGCCACAAACGGAGTTTTAACTGAGTATTTGATAGTTAATCTACCAGTGTGAGCTTGCCTATTTCTACCTAATCATGTACATTATCCACCAAAAATTAGGTCATCATAGTTGAGGTATGTGTCTGCTATTAGCAAAGAAGTTGATAGTATTTTTATAAAAATGTATTTCACAAGAATGGTTGTAAACACATCTACTTATCCAGTTATACCTTTGAATAAAAAAAAAAAAAAAAAAAAAAAAAAAAAAAAAAAAAAAGAGCCCTGGCTGAGGGGGAGGTCTATTTAGATGGTTGGAAGCCTTAGGTTTTATTTTTTATTTATACTACCTAAGTTTAAGTCCAGGCCCACCACTTACTAGCAATGTGATTTGGATTAAATTACTTTACCCTTTTGGACTATGGTTTCTTCATAATGTTTTGAGTATTAAACAAGTTACTACATATAAAGCACTTAGAACAATGTCTGGCATATAGTATGCATTTAGTAATGTTATATGTTAATATCAAGTTATTCAGTTTTCTTTTAGTTCAAAACATATAAACAAAAAATTAACAAAATACATTATCAAAGACTTATAGTTGGTGATATATTCCTATTATGTATATTTGATGTATACTCTGGTTTACACATATAGGTGTGTAATTCATATTATCCACATATGTGTATAAAGCTACATAATATATATGGTTTATATGTATGTATATGAACATGTATGCATTTGCAAGAGAGCAATATGAAAAACAAAAACATTTGAGGCAAAATACATCATACAGTAAAAAAAAAAAAGTAAATTGAAAAACCTTTGGATCCAACCTTTCTTGATGATAGAAGGATATAATTACTCTTTCAAAAGATCTTCACTTTTAAGTAGTTGATAGTTGAAGCTTGGGTCATTTGCTTTGCTATTTCTGTTGGCTTAGTATTTCTTTCAACATGTATCCTTTATAATACATTCTTGCAATAACCCTGTTAGGAAGTACAGTATTCCTGAAAACCCAGTAGAGTATCAGTTTCTGTAGTTTGGAGGTTTCTTGCTTTCTGGTCCAAAGTTTTGTAATGTCAGTTTTATGAGGTAGTCAATCAATAACTTGCTGGAAAATAAAAGTCGAAGTCTTATTTTCTTAAGCATAAGTCATCTTTCCAAGGTAGTTAGCGGGCACATATCCTTTCTGCCCTTGAGCTTCAGCTAACCACCACTCTTTATTGCCACTTAGGTCACAAAACCTAAGTATATGAACTCTCTGATATTCCTGAAGGCTGAGTTCATGGTCACTCCGTGCTTGAAAAGCGTGAACTGCATAGAAAATCTAGACAAAGAAACAAATGACATTATTGGAATTGGAACCTGAATATTAAGAGAAACATCATAAGAGTTTCCAAGCTTTTAGAAGCAATGCTAAAGTTTTCTTATTTTTCCAAAGTCACATTGTCCAACTCCTTCTATTGGATGTATTTTGCTAAAATATGACCCAGGTGAGAATGGAACGAAATAGGTATTGTCATTATTCTCTTAGGAGGAGTATAAATTATCCATGCTTGAAGGCAACTTGGCAGTTTCTATTAAAAGATTTTTAATAATGTTAAAATGTTAATTCCTTATGAATCAAAATAGCTTGAAGAATCTCTTCTACAGAAACATTGGCAGAAATTTTTGCATACCAATGTTACTGGATTACCCATACAAATGGCAAAAGTGGGAGAGTAGTAGGAATATCACTAGAAGTTCAGCAAGAGCAAAATAGTTAAATTCCAGACCCTCATACTAAGGAAATTTGTAGTCATTAAAAACAGTGCAGGCTGGGCACGGTAGTTCACACCTGTAATCCCAGCACTTTGGGAGGCCGAGGTGGGCAGATCATGAGGTCAGAAGTACAAGACCAGCATGACCAACATGGTGAAACCCTGTCTCTACTAAAAAATACAAAACTTAGCTGGGCATGGTGGTGTGCGCCTGTAATCCCAGCTACTCAGGAGGCTGAGGCAGGAGAATTGCTTGAACCTGGGAGGCAGTGGTTGCAGTGAGCCAAGATCGTGCCGTTGCACTCCAGCCTGGGCGACAGAGTGAGACCCTGTCTCCAAAAACAAACAAACAAACAAACAAAAACAAACAAGAAAAATGATGCTGTTTGAGACTAATAATATGGGAAACACTTATGATAAAATTGTAAACCTTAAAAAGAACAAAAAATTTGATGTACATTATAAGTGTAATATTGTTATTGTTTCTTTGAATGGTACAATTATAGCTGATTTTCATTTTTACTTCCTTGTTCCCTTCTTTTTTTCCCAACCCTTTATAATGACAATGTATTAAATTTATAACTTTAAAAAGTATTTTGTGACCTAGAATAATAAAATATTTCAGTCAAAAGAATTTTTTCTGACCTCAAAAGAATCCTTTATAATTATTAAGTGTGTAAGAAGCCCCAAAATAAGTGTTTAGTTATTCTTCCAATAAAATCATAAGATTGATAATGAAAATGTTTAGTTATGGCATAAAATTAAGCAATTGGCTTAATTTATTCCCATTCATTTATTTAAGCAACATATATTCCCATTCATTTATTTAATGAAAATTTTTCTAGTACCTACTAAGTACCAGGTATTATTTTATTGGCGAACTTACAACTTAGCCAGGAAAAGAAAATGCCAGTGAACAAAACAAAACACACCAAAACAGCAACAACTCTACACACAGATGATACATCAGCCAATGGTGAGCTGGATTTTGAAAGAAGTTATCTTTCATAAATGACAAAGCTGACAAAAGGCGTGAATATGTCATATTTGAAGGTACAGAGATGAATACATGAAAACAACATATAGGAAAAGGCAAGCAGATTAACTCTCAAACTTGAGGTTCAATATATAAGGGAAACTATGAGAAATAAGATGACTTCATTACTTCATTAAGCAGGAAAAGAGAATGGGTACTGTGGAGAGGAGACTATAGCTGTAGCTGAAGTTGTTACTTAAATATTAAACTTATTTAACTTTTGATGAAACTTTGATTCCATTGATTGGTATATTGATTTATCAACTAATATGACCTGCTCCCCAAGGAAAGAACCATATTGCCATGGTCTGAATGTTTGTTTCCCCTCAAAGTTTATGTGTTGAAAGCCTAATCCACAAGGTAATGCTATTAAGAGGTGGGGCCTTTGGGAGATGATCAGCCTTCAGCTTCCTGAATGGGATTGGTTTCTCTTTAAAAGAAACCTGAAAGAGACCCTTCACCCCTTCCACCATGTGAGGGCCCAACAAGAAGGTACTACTCTATGAACCAGAAAGTTACCCCTCAGCAAACACCACATAAACTGCTGCCTTGATCTTGGACTTCCAGTCTCCACAACTGTGAGAAATAAATTTCTGTTGTTTATAAGCCAACCAGTTTATGGTATTTTGTTACAGCAGCCCAAATGGACTAAGACACACATTTAATTAAACTTTTCTCCACTGACCACATTGTGGTACGAAGTATGAATTCAAATATTGATTGATTTGACCTGAAAATTAGTAGGAATATTCAAATATTTATTGAAAGGCATGGCTATCATACAAGAGATCATCTTGTATCATAAAAGATACATACAAGAGATTGATGAACATGGTCAAATTATTACATAATTTTTTAAGTAAACAAGAAAATTAAAAGTACTATAAATTCTTTAGCAATGGAGTGGTAGCAATAATAAACACCTTTTATGGAGTGCATGGCAGTTATATGTTAAATGTGCTTTGTCCTCAACAACCCTATGAGTTGTGCTTACAGAAGAAACATATTTTTAATTATAGAGCTAATTGGTGCTGCTATGACCAATATCTTCTAACTTCAAATCCTGTGCTTAGTCTATTTCTCATAATGCTTTAGAGACCAAACTCTTGTTCTAGCAAGTATGTACAGAGTGTATTCTTGCAGAGAGGGACTGGAGTTTCTAGTATATTGTAGACGGTGTTGTTTTGTTGTTTAGAAATTGAAAACATTGAATAAATCCACAGGAACAGAATGGAAGATTTGGTTTGCAAAAGTATTTGGGAATGTAATGTACTATAATACATCTGAAACATCTGTAAGAGCCTGCATTAGTAGT